ACCCCTAAAATTCTATAATTCTATTATATGATTCTGCACAATAGCCATGGGACTTTAACTTAAACAGTCTGAGGTTTTTGGGGGATGACAGTATCACTATGAAATGTCCAATTGTGACTCTATAAACTCTTCAGGGTTTTTTCTTTCTTCTGTGTAGTCTGTCGTTTTGTACTCGTGGACCATGTTCCTTATTGCTGGGTATGTTTGCAGTTAAATTAGTTGAACTGTAGTTTGCGTGAATGGTGTCAACACTCTAAGCAAGTGAGGCTGTCAGTGGTGTCTTTCACATCCTCATGGTTTATCCCATCAATACCACCATCCCCACCCCCCACTCCCCAAAAATGTTTCTGTACTCTGAAATTTTTCACATTGGATATTTTCATAGCAGCCACTTAATATCAGATCACCGATGAAGAAAATGAGCATCATACAATAGCACCAAAGCTAACTTAAAACAGGGCCATTAGATTAAGACAGCCTGCTGATGGTCAGTAGAAATGGGTCAATAATCTGGCTCTTAACCCATTTAATGTGTCCTCTCTCAACACTGGGAGTGCTGTTGCTGAATAGTAGAGTGCTAAGTCAAATACCCTACAACAGTACAAGAATGTTGCACATTCAAATACACAAATGATACTGATTGACATTAATTACATTCCTATATCTAGTTTTTTAAATCAAGGAAATACCTGAAATACATGTGTTTTAGCTTTTCATTGATTACATACCCAGGACTGGTATTTTGTGAAGTGGCCTGAAGTTACCCATTCATCCTGCTTGCAAATTTTAATTGGCAGAAATTAACATTTTTGCAGTCATTTAAAAGTGTGCTAAAGCTGAACATTGCAGCTTCTGGAATGTCTGCCACCTCTTTTTATGACTCTTCTGGGGAAAGTTGTCTAGGCTTGTTGACTAAATATTAGCTAACATTTGCTGTGGGTATTAAGGGACTTCATGATCTATGTGCATTTCAAGGTCATTGTCTTGATTCTTTCAAAACACGCAACAGTGCTCATTAAAAACTTCCTTTTTTTATGAATTGTTTTATTCCTCATTTACTGTCACTTCAAATGATACCTTTGTCATTTCCATATCATTTGCTTGATTGGAGCCATTGTAGAAAATGTCATTATGCCCTTCTTCCCCCATGTTTTATCTTCATAGATGTATGTTTGTATAAAACCAAGAATCTCTGACTTGTTCTTTTCTTGAATTCATCTTGTTTGTGACAGCTATTTGCTGTACACTCATATATCCAACATAACCTCCTCTAAAGCTAATTGCAGCCTGGGAATTAAGGATGAAGATCAGAAAAATGATTCCTGTAAATCAGTGCTGGTGTGAATTTCCCAACTAGAAATTTCTAAGGTGTACTATGCTACGTATGTACTACATGCAGTCTAAGTCAAGGCATGCTTTCTGAGTCAGTACAGCAATTGGTAATTTAATGAGGTTGAGACTGTGGGTCTTCAAAAAATCATACGAACAGTAAGCAGTCAACATCGGGTGTAATTTCCTATTATCAGTATAGTTAACATGCAGCAAAAAGAAATTATTGTAACATATATGTACATTGGAGGAAAATGGTTTTTTCATGTTTTTAACAGCAAAATTACCTCTAATAGCTCCCTAAACACCCTTCAATAAAATCAACAAACTATGAACCAGTAATTCTTATGGATGTATCTTTGTCTCATGCATTGGTGGGGGGATAAAAAAAGTAAAGAGTTTAATAGATACTAAACAGCTGGTGTAATTTTAAATATTTCTTATCTGAATCAAGTTCTCTGCTTTTGGAAACCATTGCTAAGAATGAAACAGCCTTTAAAGCAGCAAAGTAAGACAAAATATTTAAAACCTTTGCTTTCTAATGTCTGCTCATACTACCTGTTGCAACCAAACTTTCATACCCATGGGCTTCATTCCTAAAGTAGCTAAAAATATAATGGCTCCTATTTTACCATTTTCTAACTCGTGCCTGGAATTGCCTTCTCAAGAAAAGTGGCTTATATTCAATTCTCAGTGTTGATGCTGGGTAGGTGGCAGCAGTGCTCTCTTGTGGGTGATTAGAAGACAATGCAACACAGATGCTGATAAACTTTGCATTCAGTATTAGAAAGCTGAGCTGGAAAAATCAGGAGAAATATTTTCCAGAACCACCTTTTGGCTTCTTTAATGTTTTGCTAAGTCTCTAGTAATTCCAGGTCTATTTTCAAAAGTAAATTGTTTTATATACATACACAGATCCAGAACATGTATAACCGTGCATGTTATAAAGAAAATGTGTCAGAAATGTTTTATGTTGCCTATTTTAAAGAAAACCATATGCCTTCTGTATGAAAATACGTAAGTGCTGATGATCTGTTGATTGTATTGTTGTCACGTTGCTATAAATTTCTCTGCTGCAAGAAAGAAATTTGTTGATACCATATTTTGCCCTATTGATTTTTACAGGTTCAATTTTTTTTTCAAGCACTTAATGTCACTGACTACTTCAGCCAAAACCTCTCTTATGACCATTCTTGGTCAGCATCTTCCAGTGAATCAGCAGTGTGGGATTAGGCTGAACACTGCACCTCATTCAGCTTGTCCTTAGGCATTTGCTCATTGTCATATTGGGAAGCCCTCCCTTCCTTCGATGCAACAAAGACTCAGAAATTTGCTGCAGTAGTGCATGTGCTTTGCAGAGAGTGGTGCAAGATAATCATAGAATGTCTTGGGTTGGGACTTTAAAGATCATCTAGTTCCAAGCCCCCTGCTGTGGCCATAATGTATTCCTCCTTTTAAGTTTTGGTCCCTGAGTGGCAGACGGTGGGCTATGTTATTTAATGCCTGAGTCAGCTCACTGACACACTCCACTTTCAATTAATCAATTCTTTTTTTCAATGATGTATAGCTGTAATTGATTATAATAATCTGCCAAGGCAGAAAGAGCAAAAGTTGAATAAATACAGTGAGAATTTGAGCACTGTTATTATCTCACTTCTTACATCTCCATGGAAGCTTAACATTTACTGGGAATTGTAAGACATGTGACTTGCTTAGCTTAATAATAACTGCGTTTATCTGTTAAAATAAAAAAGCAGTAGAAACTGGCAGCCTGGCCCAATAGTTTGAGGTAGATCAGCTTTTAATCGAGAGAGTGTAAAATCCAAAACCATTTTCATTGTTAACAGTACATCACAGACTGCTCAAGAAACCTGATAGCTTTATTTATATTGTTGCTTTTTTTTTTTCATAAAATACCTCAAAATATACTTTCCTTCCATCTGAAAAATTAAACCCACTGGATAATCCTCATGGATATGCACAATATGAATTTTAACTGCTTGGGTGATACATTCACTGAAGAGAGCTGGTAAATGATGCTGAAATGAGGAGCCCAATTATTTTTGAATGGCATGTGAATGCTGCAGGCAGAGATGCCATTAGTAAAGGGCATTTGCGGTAAAAAAAAAAGAAATACATAGCACATACCCAGGAGAGTCCCCAGCATCAACCAATGGGAAATTGCTGTACACTGTGACACCAGCCCTGCGGATTTATATCTTTTAGGGTGACATACTATTGGCTGCTAGTTAGGCTGTATGGGAGGGATCACTGCCACTGTCTGGCTTCCTCTTCAGGTCCTTATTTGGTAGCTGTTGATAGAGCAAGTCTTTGAGCAGCTGAGCATCTTGACATACATTATTCATTAAGTCCTGGTGTTCAGGAAATATGCATATCCCTAGCTCTTCAGAAATTTCTTCAGCTCGTACAATATGTCTCTTCAACGTTGCCTCTGAATGCTTGGAGTTTCACAAATGGCATTTATACAATCAGAAGACCACACGGTTGGATTTCATTTCAGTATGCCTCTTGTGCACACAGTTGCTGAGAACCTGAAGATCAGCAAAAAGAATTAGGAGAGGAAAGAAGGAATCTTTCTTCTTGGAAGTCTTTTGCAGTGTCAGATAGCAAAGAACTGATTAGCTTAGATTGGTAGGTTAGAAAAAAAATCAAAAATGCCTGAGGCAAACTATTTACTCTCAGTTTCTTGGGGATACATAAAGGTAGGATTTTGTTTTACCTCTTAAGAACCTTGATTTGTGGTGCATGATTGCATGATCACTGGATAGCATGAGTATTTGTGGCTGACATGATTGACTAATATGAGCATAAAATCAAAAAGTCAGAAAACAAGCCTTTGCTCAGCAATGACAATGAACTAAACAATATACAGTCTTTCTTAGAAACTACACTGGGACTTTTAAAATAATGTTGCTTCAGTGAATAATGAGACCTAGTTTAAAGCCAAAGAAATCTAGCAGAGTTTTGTGATCTTACAGAAAAAGGTTGCCACAAAACTGTATTTCTAGGCATTAAAAGATTTTTAAAAAAAAACGCAACTCACAACTGAGATACAATAGGAGGGAGGATGAGTAAAGAAGCTGAGGATAATGGGTGGATGCATGACTCATACTGGTTTCAATAGCTGAAGAAAGGGAAAATTACAAAGAGTATGTTCCAGCAGCATTTTTTGGTAGCCTCTGTGTGTGTGTGTGTGTGTGACAGCTTATTGATTAAAGCATTGGAAATTGCCATCTTCTAATATTGATCTACATTATTATGTAGGGCAGCTTTGAACTAGCTTGAAACTCCAATACTGCTAGAAAATGGAACTAAGTAAGCTTTTATCTCTTTTATGGATAAGTTTTGCACTAAGGAGTTAAATCAATATGCCTGTCAACACGCAGAACTGAAATCCACTTAATAGAAAACCACATCTGAGCTTCGTTTTAACCCTAAAAAGATGATGTTGGTGCTGAAAAAAGGTGCTGCTCTTATAATTGTTATCAAGTGCATGGGGGGAAAAAAAGAGAAAAATAGAAACATCATCCTGTATTTGACACACAATAACTGTACCAAATAATCCCATTTTAAAGAAAATTCTGATTTCTCCTGAATGGTGCAAGTGTTGAATTGAACACAAGACTTATATTCACACAAGACTTATATTCACACATATCTGAATCTCTTATGCTTTCTTGTATTAATATCTACTTTTGTGATACATATTTTTAAAAGAGAAGTGCAAAACCCTTATTAGGTGATTGTGTCTGATAGTGAGCATTCTCAGCTAATGCTGAATTGTTACAATATATTCTCAAGGATTTTGATCAGTCGGCATGAAGAAATATAATCCCATTATGCTAGCCAGGTGGATTCCTTTCTCATTTACTTAAACAACAAGATGAAATTACTTTGCATTCAGCTTAAAGTGAGGTATTTATTGTAATTTACTAGAAAGTATCTCCTACATTTCAAGGCAGCTGCTGTCATGTTCCTCCTTGCTAAATTAGAAAAATTCAGTCATCAGTTTAAAAATAAAAAATGTTCACTCGTATGATTTAGCATTTAGAATTGGTAGACTTTTTGCTAATTGAAGTTCAGCAAAGAACGTAGTGGCTGGAATTGAGTACATATGGGTAAAAATGTCCTCTGTATAGACAGTGTCCTATGCTGTCTATAGATGATGATTCTAGTTAAGAAGCTAAGGAGTACTTGAGCACAATTTTAGTACAGGTCACAGTGCACATGTTAGAGGAAAATGTGAAAAAGAAGCCAATCCAGTCTGATTTATGTGATGTTCAAAGAAATGAATTAGAGTATTTATAAGATTGTAAAGATTGAAACATCTTACTCTCAGAGATCATTGTATATGTTTGCATCCCTTATTGTATATGCATTTCTGTATTCTTCAGGCTGTGCTTCATCTGCTGTGAATTATATTTCAGATAATGGTTGTCATGTGGAGTGTTTGCTCCCAGTTTTTGTTGAGAATTTTTTCTTGAAAAAATGAGCACCACTATCAGAATGCCATCCTTAGAGATATGTGCCTCTCTGTAGCTTATATGTAAAAACCAGTGCCTGACATTGATATTTAACATGTGTACTTCTAACCCAAATCTTTAGCTATTAAGAATGTTGTTTATGTATTAAGAATGCTGCTGAAATCAAAGGCAGTTTTTCATTGATAAACTATATAGGCAGAAACCTTATGTTAATTTGTAAGGCTGACCTATTTTAAATTCCCTGTTTGTTTTATTGTAGAATACAAGGCTTCTCAAACCCAGTATAATAGTGTAGTTTATTCTTTTTTACAGTTACAAACATCTTTTAAAAATTACATTTATAGATATTTCAGAAACAAAATACAGTCATGTAAGTTTAATATTCCACATATTGAATGTTCCAGGGATGTATTCCATTCATGTCAGCTTTTACAACTGTAACCTAGAAATGAGGCAGCCAGTAAGAATGGAAATGGGATCTGTTGCCATGTGTGTTTGGGAGCCAGTGCAATGAAAGTCTCCAGATGCTCTTGGGCACTTTTGTTTTAGCCTCCACTGGACTTGAAGCTTTATTAATGCTCAAGCTTAAGGACAGGCAGGATGGGGGTTTCTGATCCATGGACTGCTTTCTAGCCCTAGCTTCACCTTCAGTACTGGTCCCCAAGGCTGTGGTGAAGACAGCCTCTTGCAGTCCTCTGGGTTCATCAGGTTTCTGTTGAGGAACAGAAAGCCTGTGTGGAGGAGGCTGTACTAGGGCAAGGAGTCTACACCAAGGGTAGTTCTGTGTGCTTCCTCCCACAACACAGCTAGCTGCTGGCTGCTTATTTAGTTAAGCTTTTTGTTATTGAGTCAAGAACTTTACAGAAAAATTGTAAAATGTTATAAAGTAAACAATAACCCCCATATATATTAAGCACACAGCCCAAATTTTTTCATGTACATAAATTGACTCCAGTGGGATCTTTGCTATGTCTTCGGAGCTGAAGTTTCTTTTTACTATACATGCAGAGACTTCCTAAAAATGCATCAGTGCTCTGGTTGCCATCTGGGAACATGGTTACTGCAAAAGTTTGTCTATGTATGTCTTTCTGTGTATCTTTGCTGACTTCAGAAAAGTATCTTACTTTTTCTCCCCCAAAAACTCAATGTATGCTCATCCTGGGTTGACAGCAGTTATATACATGCAGAGATATGCACACATTGAGCTTCAGCCCGGAAGGACGTAAACTACAATCCAGTTCTTTGGAGGTTACCACTATTTAGGAAATAGTTCTCAGTTTATTATCATTGGTGTATACACTTTTATTCTCATGTATTACAGTTTTCCCTCTGGCAGACCTCCTGAGTTTTTAAAGGGAAATAAAAGTGCACATGTACTTTTATTTGTCACTTTGGGGAGATTTTATATGTTATTTGGATGCTCTGCCTGTATTTGTGGGTTCTGCACGTCTTTGCCACCCCCTCCCTGCAAGCTGAGATTAAAATCAATAAAATCAATAGAAACAAATGAAACTTAGGAAATACTCTGCTTAAGGAAATGATTTTAGGAATTTTAGACGATAGTCTATGGCTCTGTCGCTGTGACATCAGTATTCAGAAGTGAAGAACTGTATAATTGACTTAATGGACATTTTATAGCCTGTCCATTTCCAGAGGGAATTCTAAGACTACAGTCAAGGACTGTGGTATTCCAAAGGGATATCTGTGTCATTTTTCCTATCTAACTATGCCTGGTCTTAATGTGGGAAAGTCTTTCTTTTAGAGTAAGAATACAATATATGCATAGGTCAGCCAAAAACCTCTGCTTCCTCCCCATGCTGAGCTGACAATATCAGAATTAAAGTGTATGGTGTAAATGTTTATTCATAAAAAGAGTTTTGGCCATTATGGTTTATTTTTTTCAACTTGGAAAGTATATTGTATTCAGATTTTCACATTCTTATTTAAAATATTATCCTTAACATTTACTACTATTAGGAACAAGGTGATTTCATGTCTTTTTTGAGTTGTTTTGAATAACATGCAGAGTATTATTTCCAAGAGGACAAATTATGAGAGTATGGAGCCTAGCCAACTTTCAAGCACTTAGGGGCGCCTGTTGGATGATGGAAACAGTGTTGGCTCACAGATGTATCAAACTTCTCTGATTGGCAGTAAACTCTTGTGGGAGCTGTGTGAGAGGCAGGATTTCATTATAAAGTAATTGTGCAGGTCTGTATAAATATATGAATCTGTGAAGCAGCAACTTTGTATGGGTGCACTTGGGACCAAATTAAATCTTTGAGAAATAGGTAAAACCAGAAGAATGATTTATTTTTTCCCCCCAGAAGTCAAGTTATTAAAACATTAGAGGATTAAGTAACATACAGATATATTGGAATAGGGTATAATCCACAAAAATGCCCAACCATCTTTATTTCTGTTTCTCTCTCGTGGTTTTTTTTGTCCTCAAAGAGCGTTATTGTTCTGCATTCAGAAACTGCTGCCTGCATATGATACTCAGCTTCATCTGATTCAATGGTGATGACGGTCGTAAGGCTTTGTCATATAATTACTAAATCAAAACAGTTCTCTAAACTCCTGCTTAGTCCAGAAGTTTTCAAAATAAATGTCAATTAAAGTCTTGTTGCTGTGGCGTCAGCAACATGTGAAAGAGTATGAGGAAATCATGCACTACAGTTCTTCAAAGCCAAAGGCTTCTCCAATTGAATTTGCTCTTAGCAGGAGAGCCTTGCAGAAGGTGGGGGACTTGTTTAACTGTGCACAAATGTACAGCAGTAACACAGGCTGTTCTGCAGTTCTTGTGCAGATAGTTGAGCTTTTATGTTCTAGTGACTTGTGGAGTGATGGGAGGTAGAGGATGAGGGTTTGCATCAGACTAGTAGAGAATGTAGCATCAGGAAAGACTGCTATGTACCTTCCATTTGTTGCGTACATCTGCACAATAAATATGTAGTTGGAAATTCTTAGACAACATATAGTCCATGAGTGCCATAATATTATTCCTTGTATGTAATAACGAACCTTCTCACTGCCTACTCCCCACAACAAAATGTATTATTTGGGGGGGAAGTGCTTCCAATTGTGTCATGTAGCCTCAGGAAAAACATAGTGCAAACAAACACCAGTTTACTCCTCCTTCAAAGCTGGGAAACTTTTAAGAAGAGTTCCTGAAGACTACATACCAGTAGTGGCCAGATGATCTCTTTTTCCGCAGTGTGGAACATGACACAAGTAGTATTGCTCTGCAGCGGAAACAGCATTGCCAAGTTGGGCATCATGTAGAAGGGTTTAATAGGAAACAATGAGACAGATGAGGAAGCTGGAGTCCAGTGAACTGGTTAATTAAATTAAGGAAGAGAGAATATTGGAGTGATAATGATATACTGATGGCATGCCTAGAAATTAATGTGATTTTGTCAACATCTGACATTTTATTAAGATTCTTATTCACAATATTTAATTTGAAGCTACAGTTTCTGGATGCCATCTGCAGACAAACCTTTTCATGAGATCTTCAGTTTTTGCCTTAATTCAGTTTCTCACCTTTGTGGGGAAAAAAAATGAAAAACATGCAAGTGTGAGTTAAGTGTGTTAAATGTTTAAAGACAGACTTGTAAAAATGGTCTTGAGATTTCTTCTTCTTGGGTCAGTCATTTTACTGCTTGGCAAACTTGACTTGTTATTTTTTAACATTTGACATTGGCAACCAACTTTAGACATTGCTAAAGAGGTTGATATTGGTTTTGCCCAGAAGGTATAGCTCTGTAGTTCATAGTGTGTGTAGCTGTATTTGTAGTTTGGTTCTAATTTTCAGACATATGTTAAACACTTGCTAGCACATTGCTGTATCTGAGATCAAAGCTGAGCCTTTGGCTTGTGACTAAAGTAGGATTCAGTCTTTGTAGCTCAGGAACTTCCTGAGCTGATGGCATGTCAAGATGGCAGGAAAATGTACTGTGAATAGTTAGTGTTATATTAAAGGTAATTTTTATTTGGCACACTATGAGCAATACAGTAATTGGTGACTTACAAAGACATTGTGAAGAAAATAACCCCTTTCACTGTGCAAGGCCGCTTTGAAGAAAGGGCTTTGATTCCAGTGGAATGGAAAGGAGGTGGTTAATGTTTACTCTAGTGATTTATCCCCTTTGAAGAAGAATAAATTACCAGTTTTCAACATAGAAGAATGTTTACAGGTATATGTACTAAAGATAGCTCTTGCTTGATGTAATGAATATAACTGGGTGAACAAGGTGAAAGATGATTCTGAAAGTGGCACAAATCATTTGGCTTTGTTAAGAGAAAAGATGCCTGAGAAATCAAACAGTGGAATGAAAGGATGACACAATAGGAGGCAAAATTCAGTAGCGACAGATGCATGCTAATTTACATTGGCAAGAGTTGTTTGAATTGTTAATAAGTATTGTTGAGTTTTGTTTGTTGGTAATAACAAGGCAGAGCTACAGTCAATGAAAATGCATCTAAGATAGCTAGAGCTGTATTATGCAATTAACCATTTGAGCATAATGCCACAGGATATCATTTCACCCTGGAAGGAATCAAGAAAGACTTAGTGATGACTACCTAATCAGTTACACATTTTGTGGAATATTAATATCCACTTCTATCCTATAGAGTGTAGAGTGAATTGCTAACTTAGAGGGAAATGGAAGGCGTTTCCACCAATGGATATTTCCTACCCCAGTGTTTCATTGAGATGCTGACAGTTTTCTGAGATCGTGGAATGGTCAAGTCATTGAGCTGATAAAGTATAGTAATTTTAGATCAGAGATAACAAAACCTACCTCTATTCACATTGGCTTGTAGGAAATCCATAAGATATTTTGATTATTTTGAGCAATACTATCAAATACACTTGAGTAGATTAATGATGAGAGGTAAGATAAACTTAAAATCTTAGCAAATGAATTGCAAAAAATGCACAAATAGATTTATTTACAAATATGATGAGAAAATGCGAGTAGAGAACAGGTCCTACATAAAATACATTTGTATTTTCTTTCCAAGTCAAGAGTAAAAATTTGGAAAGACAATATTTGTGTGTGCACCTGTGTTAGATTTCAGTTACGAGTAGAAAATTGTTCGTTAGTCATTGAATCATTAAGGTGTATTTTAGGAGGTTAAACATATTACTGTCCAACCCCTGAATAAGTTGGTAGGGTAGATCAATAATAGGAGTGATTTCTGCTTTCATGGTTATCTTACTGCAGTATATATTCTTAATGTCATGTCCTTTCCCCAGCTATAAATGACTGCATTTTCTTATCCTAACTAAAATACATCTCGGTCACTAACTTTACACTTTCTTGTTTTTTGTTTTCCAGTTTAAAAGAATGCTCAACCGGGAGCTAACCCACCTATCTGAAATGAGCAGGTCAGGCAATCAGGTCTCAGAATATATATCAAACACATTCTTAGGTAAGACTGTGAAGAGTTAACTTTTTTTGCCTTTTGTGTTTTGGGGATTTTTTATCATTCTCTGGCTGTGTTAGAGCTTAAAAGCAAGCGGCTTTCCATACTAATTTCTGCTTTCAGAAACTGCGCATTTAGCATCTCATTGTTCAATGCTTGTGCAGGGAGATCAGGTTAGATCCATTTCCTCACAACGCAAATTGTGTATGTGATTTCCCTATGTGTGTAATTGCAGATAAATATTCATATACATACTTTCATGTAACATTGAAACTACTATATTGCTACCATATTAAGAAATTAATATGCAATGAATTAATTATATATTTAAAAGAATTTTTCCACTGTGTTTTCCTTACAGGAATTACTGCAGAGGTTTCGGTGTGTATTTAGCACAAGTAACCTCATAAAATCTCATAGCCTGTAGTTATGGTACTTTGGTATTCCCTGCCTTCTCATGCGTGGGTAGATGAATATGACTAAGTCAACATCTGAACAGGCTGTTGCCAGGAGGATTTGTGCAGTTCAGGAGCTTGGCATGGTGGGATGTGAGCATTAACAGCAGTCAACACAGTATTACAGAGTATGGTTCCTCCTGTATGGTGAGGGTTTTTTTTCCAAAGCTGGTGAAAATCAATAGCATGAAGATAAAGATTCTATACAATCTCAAATGTGTTTTGAGCAGAACACCATTGGTTCATAAAGACTGTGCATGTAAGAGGCACAGCTGAATTAGGGTAACAAGTACTTTTAAAGGTGCCAGTTATACATATTAAGATCCATCTTGTTCTCTTTGTGTGAGATACCATAGCTGGTGCTTTTTGTGTTTGTTTTTTGTTAGGTGGAGGTTTTTTGTTTGTTTGAGGATTTTTGTTTGTTTGTTTTTTGGTTTTTTGAAAGAAGCAAGTTTTTTTTAATGTACATTTTATCCTGTCACCATGTCCTAAGTGGACTGTTTAATGTGCCTATTCACTTGGCTCATGGTTGCAGTAGTGTGCCAAGCACTGCGGCACAGCAGAGTTTCAGGCAGTGAGAAGGGGGTGAGCCTCTGTCATGGAGAAGGAATATTGTCCAGCTTCAGGAGGCCTGAAAGCCACAGTGTGGAATTGCCTGAGAGGATGACCCACTTAGGCTGAAAAGACTGAGATGCCAGCTCCTGCTTACTTTTTTTTGAAACCTAAAGAATTACTTTGACAGGGTAAGGAAATGCATCTGTCAGCCTTTCACATGAGATCTCAGTCTTGAGCAGAAAGAGGGCTGCAAAGGCAATCAGGTCTAATTTACTGAGCCATGGATACTGTTTTTGTGGCTGCATGAAATCTAGGTTATTTAAAGTTGTAGGTGAGACTGGATGTGGCACTTGGTGCCGTGCATGGTCTAGTGACGACAGTAGGGTTGGACTTGATGATTTTTGAGGTCTCTTCCAACCCGGTTGATTCTATGAGTCTATGAATACAATGCTGAAAACCCCTCATCTACAGATGTATTGCTTAGTCTATTCAGAATATGCATTCCAAGTGTATAGGTTCTGAGCAACTATGTAAAGAGGAAAAACATTCTCTCCATAGAAAATTTAAATGAGTCTAGTTATTATCTAGCTTATTTTTCCAATAGTAATCCATCTCCTGAACCTCTACAGACTTGCTCACATTTGTAAGTTAAAAATGTGTCATGAGGAGACAGGGGTTTCTGTTCTTCCTCTTCAATAAATGACTGTTTTCCCAAAGGGCTGTGTGACATGTATGAAGTCATTTATAAAGACAACAAATATATTATGTGTATAAGAATTAAGGCTCCTATAATGAGTATTATAATATGCAAGGTTTTTCTTTATCAATGTCATTAGCCTGTTTCCTATGAATGGAAAATGTTTGAGAACCTGCCAATGAGCATAGCACAACAAGGTCAAAATGGCAAGCTGTCTTTTCTGGATGTTCAGATGGGCACAGCCCTGTGCTTACAGTTACAAAAGCAGAGGCAGTCCCATTGAATTCCTCTGGAGATCTAAAGTCATTCAGACACACACTGCCTTTCACTTGAGTTAGTCTGACAGCTCGACTTATGAACCTCCCTTTGATGGGTCTAAACTTTGTGCATACGACTGAAACCATAAACATCAAAGCATGAACACGAGTCACTGCTCCTCATCTGTTGTCAGTTTGCACCAGGCAAGGGCTGCAGTGCTCCACCTCCCCTTTTATTCTGTATGAGGAGAGCAATGAAGTATGGCGAGGGCAATCGGGGAACTCAGTGCTGCAGGCTAAAACTTGGTGACATTTCCACAGCCTCTTCTTCGCTGTGATTTTTTCAGAATTTGAGGTGTCCATTAAATGTGGCTGCTAAGGGATAATTAAAAAACAAACAAACAAAAAAATAAATGGAAAAAAAAAAAGTGAAAAAGGAAACACCTAAAAACTGGCATGGACTTGCTGCCCTTGTCTGGTTTCAATGTCTGCATTGAAAATGAATATTGCAGGAAGGAAAAAATGGACTTGTTTTCAAAAGCCCAAATTTTCATATTTTCTTGTTTAAAATTTCTTATATTTTAAGGTGTTAAGTTGTTTTGGCTCATTTCCTGTGCTAGAAATATATTTTCTGTATTTTCCTGTGTTTACTGGATTATTTCTTGAGGAATAGAAAAGGTGCAGGTACATTTCAGCAAAGAAGAGATAATTTGGAAGGAGTCATTAAAACTCTAGTTGAAATACAATATGAGTAGAAAGAAAAAAAATAATGCAAATTCCTAGCAGTTTTGGCAGGGGAGTCATTTGTTGCACTAATTTGGGTTTCTTTGGGTAACACAGATGTCTGCAGTGCTCCACAACTCCATACTGTTTCTGCAGCAATCATCTGGCGCTTGCCTAAATATTCTCTACTCTCAGTTTAATCCTTGTCTAAAGTTTTGCTGGCACATGTGTTTATGAATTGTATGAAATGATTCTGCTGATACTCCTATGGAGGTGAAAGCCCACAGCAAAATCCAGGGGGTTAGCAAAACAGTCCTTTTGTTGTTTTTATAGACTCTGGTTGGGAGGTGCAGAAACACACGGCATTGCTGGTGTGAACTGCTTCTGCACCCAAAGTGCTTGTAGGTGTAGCTGGCAAAAGACTTTCCAAGTTGTACAGTCTTATTAAATAGGACCAGTCCCGAACTATTGGGTTCTTTGAGTCCTGAAAAAGTCTTGTAAAGGTTTACAGGAAGACACTGGATTGTTTTGGAAATACAGTTGCAGAGAGTGTTTTTCCTGGAAAAGAAAAAAAAATTACATTTTGTTGCAAAATGGTTTCCTGTTTAGTTGTAATGACATTTTTATAATGAAAGGATTGACCCTTTCTGCAGTACTAGGGGTGCAGGAGAAGTGACAATTAGTCACGAGATGCTTTTAAAGCCAGTTCTAAAATAATGAGGTGATTTGAGTAAGAGAGATCTGCTGGTACTGAAGTATAGGTCTGTGTTTATCATTTCATGTTTTTACCACTCTTGATGTAAATTATTTGTTGCAAAATGTACAAATTTAAAAGTGAAAAAAGTTTTGTAAAAAATTAGTTAATTTTATAATATTTGCAGTTTTTATAAAAATTATTCTCTTTTTATTCATTCATTTGAAGACAAACAACATGAAGTTGAGATCCCTTCTCCGACACAGAAAGAGAAAGAGAAAAAGAAGAGGCCAATGTCCCAGATCAGTGGAGTCAAAAAGCTCATGCACAGCTCTAGTCTAACCAATTCCAGTATTCCCAGATTTGGAGTTAAAACAGACCAAGAAGACGTCCTTGCCAAGGTATAGAATATATAAATCCTTGACTTTAAACCATTAAATTAAAATAGGGTGTGAATTTTTCAGTATTATTCTATCCTCTGCTTATAACTATAGATTTCAAGCTGTAGCACCAAGTGCTGGTCTCACTTGAAATAATTCAAATTTGTTGAAGTGGAAGAATAGCAAATAGAATCAAGCCATAATGGTTCACTTCAGTGTGAACAGGATTTCATCTGGAGATGAAATGTAAATTAGCATTTGTGTATCCATTAATAAAGTTCATTATTCAGAAAAAATAACTGAAGAATGAAGAGCAAACATACCACATACACAGGAATTAAAACCTATTTTTTGAAAAAGCACAACAGGTATATAGCATTAGAGCTATATTTCATGCCTTCAGCTGTATCATTTTTTGTGCATCCTTTGTGGTTTTGTTTTCAGTGAAATTTCCTATGATTTTTTTTCCACACCAGCAGCTAACTACTTGGCAATAATAGAAAACTGGTATAAAGTGAGTTTTATGCCTATCCTTATGTTCTCAGAAATTTCCCCCTTTATTTGAAGCGTGTTTCTGAGAACCAGGGAGAGAGCAGCAGAATTACAGCATCTCTGGAGGTTTTGGCCTTGCTGAACTTTGTTGTCAATGGGCAGTGAGATAGCAAAGTGTGTCAGTTCAGCTCATTCAAGATACTGCAGTATTATTTCTGCTGGAGCACTCCACTTAAGAGGGACTCTTTCCTCCTTAGTGAACTAAAATCTGAAAAGCTGGTAGATGCAAATATCAATACTGCAAAATTTGTCATATGACCAGACTTTGGTCCTTCCAGACTTCAGGATGTAAATTTCACCATGGTAAGGTTTGAATCTTCACAAGTCCTGTTTTTGTAACTGTTTCAGTCAAAAATTGCTGGAATTTGTGTGTTAGGTTTCAATGTGTTTGTTCAATGTGTTTCTACTCTAGGAATTAGAAGATGTGAACAAATGGGGCCTTCAGGTTTTCAGAGTAGCAGAGTTATCTGGAAACAGACCTTTGACTGTCATCATGCACACGATTTTTCAGGCAAGTAGGAGCAGCCATGCTGCTTTTTGCTTATCTAGGAGATTTTTTCTGAGCTTTGTAATTTAATTGTTTTTCCTTTTCTTTTATAGGAACGGGACTTGTTAAAAACTTTCAAGATTCCAGTAGATACTTTAATAACATATTTGATGACCCTGGAAGACCATTACCATGCAGATGTGGCATATCACAATAACATACATGCTGCAGATGTTGTTCAGTCAACCCATGTCCTGCTATCAACCCCAGCATTAGAGGTAAACTACTCTGAGGAGGAAAAGTGGCAGTCATGAGAGAAGGAGAAATACTTTTATCCCCATAAGTATTTCAAAACTGTTTGAAAAAAACATGCATATTTTTTTAATAGTAATTTGTTAAAAGTTTTGACTCTTTTTCATAATGACCAGTCTTTAATGTTACTGAATACATCTGCTTTGCCTTCTTAAAAAGAGGGTTATAAGTGGACCTGAAGACTGCTGGCAGGTCTTGATCCTCAAAGACTGGGGAGTTCTCCTGAGATAGATATTTTATTGCTGTCAAGAAGAAAGATCAGATAATGTTCTTAAAACACCACTGGCTTCATCAAACAGCTGAGCTCGTCATCAGTAACATTTCTGGGGTTTTTTTTTCCAGATCAGCTGTTTTTCACAGCCTCGTTCTCAACAGAGCTTTAGCTGGTAAAATGGCAATGTCTGCCCAGTGCCACTGCTCACCTACGCATTTGTGAGCTGTTCTTGATGAATTATTAAAGCATTTATATAATATGGATGCTTCTGATGACAGAGGACGGGGCTCAGTGACATTCCAGGTCCATTGCAATCATCTCTGCCTGTCTTCCTAATTATCTCATACAGGTGGAAAATCAGTAAATGTTATGATGTCTTGTAGTCTGTCACTGTTCCCTTTAGCATTATATAGGGGATGTGCATCTTTCAAGTACAGGACAATACATAGGAGTTAGGCTGAAATATTTAACTTCAATTGGTGCTGTAAGTTAGAAACCTGTACTTAATGATCTAATAAAAGTGGATTTATTTACAGACTGAAGTTGAAAACGCATCAGTTGTGACAGAATTTAGTGATGCTGTCAGTATGAAGTATAGATCATTTTCCTTTGGCCAAACTTGAAATATTTATGAAATGCTACATAATTGACAAATTGGGCAAAGGTTATCTTAGCCATGTGTAAGGTCTCATGGTCTATTCCCAGTATGTTTTGTTTGTTCAGATCTAGATTCACAGTGGAGCCCTTTCTGTTGGAAGCTGGTTTTCACTGTTTGATTGTAATTTCTGTTTCATGATTTTCTAGGCAGTGTTCACTGATTTGGAGATACTTGCAGCAATTTTTGCCAGTGCAATACATGATGTAGATCATCCTGGGGTTTCAAACCAGTTTCTTATCAACACAAGTAAGTTTGAATTTCTGTGGTTTTCTCAAAAATATGTTGCAAGGTCTACACATTAGCACCTGGAAAATACACAGTTCATTCCTAGTTTGCTTCTGTCTGCAACTTTTCTCAGTAAATAGATTGGAGGTTGTATTTTAAACCGGATGTTATTTTGCATTTCTTGTAACTTTAGAAATAATTTTCATAGTACCCTCTAGCAAGAATTACCAAGATGTGAACTACAAACCTGGCATTGTTTCAATGTATCAGATGTGGTCTCTTCTGGAAAACAGTTTATTTACATTAAATAAATTAAGTTGGGTCATAGGAGAAGAATTGAAGATAATAAAATAAAAATTAAGAAGGACAACAGTTTGTGCTTATATTGGAAATATATCAAATGACCAAGGACAGAAATTCAGAAAACAAGTTTCTTTTTAGCAAGCAGACTGTCAGGCCCATCTCTGTCTCTGCCTGGATGCTGTACTTGACTTTTGGTCTCTCATGCCTTGTGGACTGAATTTCCTCAGCCTGTTCCTGTGGGTTATGGCAAACCTGTTTTTTCTCCTTTCAACCCCAATGTCATCTTCAAATTTGAAACCCAGCGTACTTGTTCTGCATTTCTCAAGGCTGTTGCCTGGAGCATTACATGAACCTTTCCCCCGTCTTTAATATTCCACTGAAAGAAAAACACTATTAGGCTCATTGAACCTGACCATGGCACATTTACTGAATGGATTGTTGCCCCAGTGTAACCTGCTTTGATTTCACTGGTGTAGGTCACTATTATAAGTGGGTAGCATTTTCTAGGTCAGTAAAAGTTCCATCATACAATGTTATTTCTTTTGCTGTCTGACAACTTCTTCTTTTATGATAACTGACCCAGAAGTACAAAGTTGAAATTATACTAATAATCCAAACACAAAAGAACAAGAAGCAACAGAAATTGAAACATACCTAGGATGGTGTATTTGACCCATCTGGTTGCACTTTTATAGACACTGTTATTCCTGCACTTGGGCGAATCTATTGCACTGGTGCTAAAATAGAATGACCCCTAATCAGCAGTATAGTTTGGGGGGAGCTCCTCTTCTGACTCATTGCTGCTGTACATCCACTCCAGTTTAACCTGCATCTAATTTTGTTTGTCTTAATGGCCTCAGGGCCACCCTACAATGAAATTGGATGTGATGACTCATCTGCTTGGAGGAGGATTGTGATTGACTATAGATTTTTCATGGTCTATTGGTAATCAGTACAGTTCAGCAGTGTAGTATAGGAAGACAGTGAATCAAGCTGTGTGCACAAAACATTGTATAGAACTGTTTTTATATTATTAAGAGTGGGCATATGTAAGTAAAGTTTTTCTTTGCTTGTTTAATCAGAAATTGAGTATCAGGATATATTGGTGACTCTGACATTCTGTGGGGAAACCAGTGAGTTGTTCAGGTTTAAGCAGGATGACCTGTTAGTCGAAGGGATGAGTAGTGGTACATAAAGCTTTTACTTTAAGGCAGACAGTTGAAATTCAGCTAAGATAAGCATTATTCTGATGCTGCTTACTTAGTGGCTTACAAGAAATATCTCATTTTTCTCAATTCAGCTTTTGATAAGAGGAGGCTTCTGTGTCAATCAGGTAACATCACTAGTTGCAAGCCCTGTTTGCCCCTGAAACAAGGGGATTTTGTCCCTTATAAATTGCTCTGTGTACAAGGAAGAAACTCTAGGCACAGACAGAAAAAGACCATTTAATGTACGTCTCAAATCCAAAATTTCCCTAGTGAACCTTACAATGTATTAACATTTCACTAAGTTGTATAAGAATACATTTTAAAAAATCATAATAGACTTCCAGTTACTTAGTGTGTACATATTTGCTGTATTTTCAGCTTATTTTTAATAATTAGTCATGTGATTTTTCTGAATGTTATTTTCTTATTTGAAGTCTATTGCAGAGTTGTCAGAGAAACTGATCTCTCTTGAATGTTATTAAAGAACAAACAAATATGGATTGTATTAGCATCAGAGATGCTTATATGATCAGTGTAACTCTGTCCTTCCACACAAATACTCTTGAAGCTAATGCATTACAGAGGTTACCAAGGGTGAACTTTCTTCCATTTCCACATTCATTTCAAAACTGAGTACATTTAGCCGTGTCTGTAGCTCCAGCACTTCCAAAGTATTTTGGCAATGTCAAGTGATTTGCAGTTGGGGCTCATCAGAAGGCTGTTTGCAAGGAAAATAAACTCTAGCACTTGTCCTCTTTGTAAGAAAAACAACAAGTAGGCGAGTTTGTGTCTTCTGTGAAAGGCAAAAGAGAGATCCTGTGACAAACTTGCTTTCAGTTTTGCTGCCATTGTGATGAAGAAAGACAGAGTTTCCTGATTCAACAGATCATTTTATTCAAGGCAAGGAAAGGAAGAGAGTAGGAGAATAGATAATGATACTAACGAAATCTGAAGATCAGAGCTTTTATAGGCTTCCCATTGAGCCAGAGGGATTTTAAAACATAGCTGCTCTAAAAGAAGATGAAGAGAACAAAAAGTAGATTAGACTGACGTTATGGTTAATGTAGGATAGAACAGCTGTAATAAATAGAAGTTAATATTGCACATGGCAAGCATGACTGCATAAAAAATACTTGTTTTTTTTATGACAGATTCATTTACAAGCTGTGTCTTAAAGCATATTCAAGCTGACTGTGCAGTATTCTCACATAGAAGCTAAAGCTGTGCAAAAAGTTTTTGCTTTTATTTGTCTGAGCAGCCTGTTCAGCA